TACCACGGCTGGGCATTTCGTACCAAATATAACCCGTTTTATGTGATAACTTTTTACTTTATTTTAATGAACTTGTAATTCCTCATTTACAAAAAAACCTAGCTTTATCAACAAAAAGCTAAAAACAAGGTACTAACTTACGGCTTTATTTGAACTGAATGTTATACTATCAAAGAATTTTTGAAGAGAACGAAACAAATGAAAGTGTAAGGGCAAAAGGTATAGCGAGAATGATACGCTAGCAAAATTTAAGTTCCAATAGCTTCTGTCAGGTGATCAAACTGTATGTAGTCTTGCGTTTATCAGAATGGAATGCAATTCCTATACCATTAATTAGCTCTGCAAATTTCTGGAAGATGGACTCATTGAAACTGTCTAGTTGGCGACAGCATACATTCGAAGTGATTTGTTGGCTCGTTGGTAGGAATTTGGTAACAAGATGGTAGGAATTTGGTAACAAGATCACGCACTAGTTTGATCAATGACAAAAATTTCATAAGTGTGGATGAAAAAAGTTGCCGCACGTACCATATTCTCCTGAACTTGTGTCCTCAGACTTTTATTTGTTTCGCTCTTTTCAAAATACCTTTGGTAGTATAACATTCCTCTTAGATGAGGCCGTAAATCATCGTCTTGTTTAACCTTTTGTTGATAAATCTAAATTCTTTTGTGAATGAAGAATTACGAAGCTTATTGAAAGAAAGGATACAGTTTTTGAACAAAACGGGCAATATACTATTCATTGATCATTGCTCGTTTTATAAATAAAAGACCTTTGAAAAACATAGAAAAAATGCGCCATGACTTTTCAAACAAATATATACTCAGAAGGTGGTTACGTGGTGATAACTCAGCAGTACGATAAAATCACTTTCATATAAGAACTCTCCTCCAGTAAGATGACCTGAATCTGCCTACGTTTCTTGCTGCCCGCTAGCAGATCAATGCTAAAATTCGTGCGAGCATTGGTATAAAATTGCCAGCCAGAAATATTATATTCAACTGAAATATAATCATAATGTTTTATAAAATTGCTAACCTAACTTTTCTCATTACACACGATTTTCTGTTGAATTTCATGAGTTCTATTTCTTTTTCGGCGAGTTAATGCGCTCAAAATATTGTATTTCTGTATATATTAATGATTGTAATCAGAACAATTTCAGCAATAATAATTGAAAGAAAGCAAATAATCAGAGTTAATTTCAACATAAAATATTATCATATTTCTTCGTATATTTTTCTCCCTCCTGTATCCTCTCCAGCCTTTTAGCCCTAGATTCTGAAAATTTAAAGAACATATTTGCATTTTTTTTTCACTATTGCACATAACTTTTCCCTCTGAGGAGCAGTATACTCGTATTATTAAATTTTATTAGTAAACTGTTCTCCCTCGAATATTTTTATCTTTATTCAGTGTATTCAATTTCTATTTTCAATTTTGTATTTCATCCATTTTATTTACACTTGTATCTATTATTTGAAACGTATTTTCTGAAGTTTCTTCATTAAGCTACCCGGAAGTGGCAGGTGATCTCACCCTTAAGAAGCTTTCGAAACATATGATTTAACTTTATTACTATTATTTACGTTCTAGTTCATTGTAGCCTTATCTATTGCTGATGTGCTTGATCTTTGGAAATCTAGGTCTTTTTCTCTCCCCCCTCTCCTTCGTTCCTTTGATGTCCCTCCCGGAAACTGAGGTTAAGAGTAATTCATGTGAGGTGCATGAGGCTTTAAAAGATAACTGAGCAAGCCACGTCTCGAAGGGATCAGTTCCGCCAGATATCAGCTCAATATTTGTCAGATATTGTAATGTTAATGTTACTATATATTCATATGGAAATGTAGGCGTTTTTTTAAAGAAATAATATTGGGACAGTTACCATGACTACCTTTTATTTGTTGCGTTTTTACTGTAACTGCGTTCTTCGGAAATTAAAATTAATCGCGCATATTTTTCCTCTCGATTTTCTGAGGATAAAATTAGTTAAAAAAGATCCGATGCTTAAATGATCTGATCTGATGTCATGTCGCCACATGACGTCCTCTAACGGCCTGTGAAATTATACTCAATTTTTGCTACATTTCATTTAAACATATTTTCTCGAGTTATTTTAAATTAGCCGATCTCTCCAGGCAAGTTGAAAATGACACTAAAAATTTAAAACTTTGAAAATAAATATCCCGGTCAATTTTGGTCGTACAGGATTCAACTTCTTGCATTTTTATTTTTTCATATCTAATATAAAACTTTTCCAAATACAAGTGTAGGAATCGGAAGACCGCATCAAAAGTTAGATTACGCTATCTGTCCAAATTTCTTTAAATTTAACTTAACACGAATAAACCAAAACACGAATAACCAAAACACGAATATTATGTCATAATATTCTTCTATAATATAGATAAATTTGTAAGATATAACAAAATACGACGGCTGCTTTAAGAAATGATTGATGACCTCAAAATTACCTATTCTAGATTTTATGCTCTCCTCCTAAATCCATCTGTTCTCCTAAATTCGAGACCTTTCCATGTTACATAACAACCTAAAATTAACTAATCATAGCTTAGAGTACTTTCTGCATATACTATATAAATACCCACTCGCAAGAAACTGCGTCATCTTCCTTTCCCAACTTCTGCTCTGCCAACACCGCGCTGATATGCTTTGCTAAAATGCCTACGTCCTAGCTTTAAAAAGCAGTGTACATAAAAATTATTGTATTTAATGATGATTGGACAAAGGCTTTGCCTACAAAAAGTGAGCTGATGTGAATTATCATGGAATAAAGTTGTGTTTGGAAACGGGAACGTCTGGAAGTTACTGGTTTTTATACATCCTTCTAACTAACTGCGCATCGAAAATACTATATATATATGTAAGAAAAATAAAGAATATGTAAAAGATTAAATTAGCAACGCAAATTTCCCTTCTCAGTTTTAAAAATAGAAACCTCTCTCTGCAATGCGTTATTTCTAGATTAATCCATGTCATATGACTCTTACAAAATTCTGGTGATGTATATGGAACTAAAACTCATACAGCCAATAGTAATTTTACAGCAGTATTGACTATTCAATCAAAATGTACTGAGAACCAAAACTAAGTCTTAATTAAGATTTCACCCTGGACATAACGCACTTGTTCGCTACTATTCGGCCTAGCTGGACTTCTGTCTGCTGCTTCCTTCGTACTGCAAACTTATAATCTAGCAAATAATTCGATGCCTACTTGGAAGTAAGTTGAAAGACTCTCTTAATTTAGTTGTTGTTAATTTGTAGTAGGTTGGTTTATTCCCTTGATAAGTCGATTAATTTGAGATCAATGACAATAACTACTTTTTCAATTTTTAGAATTTACTTTTGGTTTTGGTATTTTTGCGATTTAAGATTTTTCTTAGCAAATTTTAAAAAAGAAATTACTATTTAAAATACTAATTTAAATTCTGACTAAACATTTTTTTTTTCATTCATGGTTTTAAATTGAATTTGTGTTCCTTGGAGATGGTATATGGAAAGTTTTCTTATTATAAATTATTATTAGTTTATTACTTTGCAACTTTAGCGCAAGTCATATGCTTTTAAATTTACTTTTAATTTATTTTGAATTTGCATACAGTAAGACCCCGCTTAACGCGGGGGATACGTTCCATCGAAGTAGAGCGTAATGCGAAACAGCGCTAAGCGAGGCTATCTTAACATGTAAATAATGGGGTTAGGGGAAGACGGATAAAAAATGGTTAGGTATTAAATTTAATAATGTTTTTTTAATAAAAATAAAATCAAACATTTATTTCTTACAAAAATAAAAACAATATAAACGCATTTACTTTTAAAAACAAATAAAATTCTCAGTCAGATCATTCAGTCTATTCTGGGTTTTCCAATTTTCTGCCTTTTTGTTAAGAAGGCATTATGACAGATTGGCTTAATGGCATATTGCGTTCAATTTCGTCGTCAAATCCATATAGACAGTCGTTTTTTTTTCATTTCCTCTATAATGTTATTTCTAGAACGGGTAATTCTAGTTGCAGAGCTTGACGTAGTTGCAGTTGCAGTTGCCGATGACAGTATTTTTTCTTTATTCTTAAGAATTGTCCTTATTGTTGAAGTTGCCAAAATCAATGCAGCACTAATTTGAGATTGACGTTCACCAGAATCTAATCTTCTAATCACTTGCATTTGAGTTTCCAGTGAAATGCTTTTTTTGGTTGCTTTTTTCTTGGTTTTTTATTATCACCCATGATAAAAACTAAAGATCATAATATTTGTCACTGTATTAATCGTTATAGTATTATACAAATTTAAACTTAACAATAATGTCAACAAATGTTTCAATTGTAAAAATGCGTCCACCAAGCAAGAAACACCAACTACACTGTTTCGGATATGTTATTTGGAAACCTAGCGCTGCGCACAATTTCGGAGAATCCCCGGGTTGAAATAAAAGAGCGCTAAACCGAAACAGCGCTAAACGAAACAGCGTTAAGCGGAGTCTTACTGTATATCTATATATCTACAGATATATATATATATATGTCGTATGATCTTAAATTCATTTAGTGCGAATATATATATATATATACATACATACACGAAAGTACGTACGTGCAGACATCACGAATAAGATCCATTTTACAATCCGTTTTGAAACAGAGCCTCCGTACGATATTCTCTCCGTACGTAAGATGGCACGAAAAAAATAGTCAAAATGGATATTTCCGTTAAAATCTGATAACCTAAATTTTTCGCGACTATAATACTTCCTTTGCTTTGTGCAAGAAAATAACAGCGGCGAAAAGTACGCGAGGAAATGCCGTTATTATTGTCCAATACGATCACACTCAATAGAAATTCGAGACCAAACATCTATTACACTAATTTTTCCTAAGAAACGAAAACGCTATCAAACACACAGTTCGGTTGAATAGATAGATTTCTAAATCCGCTCTCAAACTTTTGGCTTCCATAGCAAGGGAACTGACACAACTCACCTGTGAGACCTATAGTCTGAACAAGAGAGCATATTTCGTCGCTCGGCTCTCGGCAGCACTCGATGACATCTTGACATTTGGTGTCGGGGGTGATAGGTACATCCACCCACTTGCCATTGTCTACATGAACTGCCAGAATCACCTAAAAAAATGATGGGAAAATATCATACAATGAAATACAAAAGTCTCTAGAGTACCTGTCAAAGTAAGGTCACACGACAACATTCTAAAGTGGTATGTCACTAAAAGCGAACACGTTACACAAATATTTAGAATTTTCTCTCATTTACCACCTCGGAACAAAAATATTATGTTGGGAATATTTTTGTTTTTCTACTGACACGGAAAGAAGAGAGTTCAGAGTTTTCCTAGCTTAAGGAAAAATGTTTAACACTACATTCACTCAAGAATAAAATACAGTAGTCGCCGATTAATTGTGATGATGTTTATCCACGACTGTTTTCATAACTTTAACCGAATGATAACATTAACGACAAGAAAAACTGAGATGGGGAAATAATGAGAAAACGGCAGTGGAATCTAACTAATGTATGTACAACAAGGAATGTATCAATAAGCCCTTTCACAAAATTTTAATTAGGAAATGTAAAAATTGTTTATGAGCCGTTTATAATGTCTTCACGCATTAGTTCATTTATGAATTGTTCATAACATTTCTGGAAAATAGTTGACCGATGTTATACAAATCTTCATATTCGGGGGGCACCCCTCATTCGGAAGAGTACATACAAATGGAAAATTTTAGAAATAGGTAAAAAAACCTGATTTGTACATCACATGACTTCCTTTTACGGAATATTAAATTATACGCAATTTTCTGCATTTCATTTAAACATTGAATTAGCAGTTAACAAATTTTGAACTAAATCTACTTCGTCGATAGCGCATAAAACACAACAGAATAAATGCACTCTTTAAAGTTCACTATATTTATTTACCATAGCGACACTTCGGCGCTAGGTTCACTTAACAGCATTACATCTCAATCATTTTATAACCCACAGTGCACAAAAATAATATCATCTGAAGACTTACCACAAGTTCTATTCAAATACTATGATAAATTTAAAACGATGTATAAAATAAATTAAACAAATAAAAAAAAACAGTTTTCCCCAGACGATTCAGTGTCGCTTACTTAATGCACAAGCGCTACTAATAAATTCAGTTCTCACTTCGGAACAAGGCAAAAATACGTAAAAATTCAAAATATTTTCATTAAAAATTGAAAGAAATAGAAAAACATAAAACACCAACAGTTTAAAACAATTTTTACAATTAAAAATATAATTTCTACGCAAAATCAAGCTAATAACGTAAATGATAATTCCAGAATTAATTAAGCATAATTTAATTCTCAATAATAAAAGAAGACGTTAATTTGTTGTTGGGAAGCTTAGTTTCTCTAGATTGGCAACAAATCCACTGTTCTGCTAATTTTCAAATGTAAACAAATATGGCTGTTATGCTAAACAAAAATTAGGCTTAACCGTAATTAAAATACTTTTAAATTGTTGATAATTCCTCAGTTATTGCATGCAAGTTAACTAAAGGCATAAAAACCTTAACCGGAAGATAAGAACAACATAATTCAATCATTTTTAAAGCAAAAAATGCACAATTTACAAACATATACGAATAAAGAAACTCAGCTCACTGAGTCGAGTAACAGAGTGGATATATATATATATATATATGTGTGTGTGTGTGTGTGTGTGTGTGTGTGTAATATAAACAAAGTCAGAAGTAACTGAAGAGCAGGAATTTTGATGGCGTAGAAGTTTTGATCCATAATGAATAGGAAATTTAAGGCGAAGCCAGAATAAATCTTCAGTTTTATTTTCAGCTACACACAAGTCGGCACATTAAATTTGCCTGTTCCAAAAGGCTTACATTTTTGATAAGCAAGCAGCAGCAGACAGACAGCAGTCTAGCTAGGCCAAAGCAAGTGCGTTATGTTGAGGATGAAATCTTAAGTCAAACTGACTTAGTTTTGTTTTTGAAAGCATTTTGATTGAAAAGTTAATATTGTTGCAAAATTACTATTGGCTGGTTGCGTTTTGGTTCCATTTACATCACCAAAATTACGTAAGAGTCATATGACATAGATTTTTCTCGAAATGACGCAGTGCAAATAGAGGTTACTATTTTTAGAATAGAGAAGGGAAATTAATTTACGTTGCTAATTTAATCTTTTACATATTTTTTATTTTTGTTACACACACACATATATATATACATAAATTTATGTACTTTTGGTGCGGCCGATTGCAACCAAAATGGGAGGTGCATATCTGCATGTTATAGCAGTCCTATATAGAAAATTTCAATGTTCTGAGGCTACTCGTTTTTGACTTATGCGAGATATATACATGCATACCTACATGCGGACGCACGTATGTACGTACAAATGCTACGAAAACATGTCTTCAGAATTCCTTTTAAATCAGTTTTTATAATTTTTTTTGGGGAAAAAGAGTTCTTTAGTCTGTCCTTACGTACAGATGTCATGCAAAAACATCGTTAAATTGCATTTAATAGCGGTCAAATGGATATTTTCGTTAAAATATTATACCTGAAATTTTTCGCGATTACAATACTTCCTTTTTACTTCGTAAAGAAAGTAAAAAGCGACCTTATTTTGGGGTATCTGTTTCGAGGAAATTTGTTTTTAAGCAGCAGAGGGGAAAAATTCTGCAGAAGCATTTTTTGCTCCTGAAGAAGAGGGATGCGTGTCTGATCATCTTAACAAGCGATACCGTTATTAAAAATCTACGATAATGCTTTTTAGCCTAATTTTTAATAGTTGACCAAACTCGAAAACAAACTGTTTGGCTAAATAAGTTATTACTTGGCGACATTTTTCTGATACTTAGAAGTTTTTATAAGCGGAATTCAAATCTGGACCTCTCGAATATACGCCCAGTGCGCTACGTTACACAAGAAGGCATACTGAAAGGAGGGAGAATATACCTTATAACATTAAGTGGCGTGTACTGTATCAAGTGAGAGTTTGATTCGAAGTTGAACATATTTATCGCACTTAGAAGACAGAAGGTCATGTTTAAGTGGCTTCAACTTTTCACGTAAAAATTTTTTATGAGACATATCAAAGCTACTTTTGCATAGAAGACATATTTTCCTGTGAATTTTCTTGTTATAAGACCTTTTTTTACACCGTTCCTTAGGTTTCCTCCTTTTCTTTTTTGCCAGAACATAAATCTTTCCTTTCTTCATTTTCTCCCTTTTACCGGTTTCATTGCACAGGAAAATCCAAATATTGACGTTAGAAATGTCGGCTTTTAAGCCTGCCATTTTTCACGTCACGTTAAGTTGCCGCAATATTAATCATCCACGCCAGGTAAAAATTGTCAATGCCGAAAGTTGTCAGTTTTGCGGTAGAAAATCATATTTATTTTTCATATTAGAATTACATATCAAAATTATATAAATTTACTTATCTTAAAACAATACGTTGTAGAGACAGGTTATTTCGAAGCAGAAGAGATGTGAAATGAGCAACGCCTTCGCCGGGACTCGAACCACGGGCCTCTCGAATACGCGTCGAGCGTGCTAACCATAACGCTACGAAGGCATGCTAAGAAGGTGGGAGAAATACCTTATATACTCTCCCTTTCAAATGGCAACCGAGAATTAGGGGACCCAATCGCCAAATCCTGGGGGTGCAGAAACATCATCCACCACCATTTTAGTTCGGGCGCCACTGAGCAATGCCCTCGCCGGGAATAGAAGCATGGATCTCTCGATTACGCATCAAGCGTAATGACCACTAAACCAAGAAGGCAGGCTAAGAAAGCGGGCTAAGAAGGCTTATAACATATGTGTCTTACTTGACGTTTTGTACACTCATTTTTAATAAAACAATTGTTGACATAATTTATAATATATATAATATACACCATGTCTAGAAAAGTCCTCTCCCAATCTTTATTTTCACAGCCGTTGGTGGAAGACATGTACTTTTGACTACAAAAATGTTTCAAATGACGCATGTTCTGGTATTTTTAAGTTAAAAAAAATTAACTTTATTAAAATAATGAAATATAACTGTCTGTACATTCCCTATTCTTTATACTTAAATTTTAGAAAATTTTGCACTCGCTATAAAAAAAATAAAAAAAATAAAAACTTTGACACCATATGACAGAAATTGACTGAAATATTTAATTTTAAATTTGGATATCAAATTTGGGAGCTGTGTATAAATTGAAGAGCGAAATGTTTACATTTGTATGCAACTAAAAATTAAAAATTAGTTTATAAGATGTTTCTGATGTTAAGAGAAGAACATTTCTATGTAGATTGTCACAAAAAGTATTGATCAATATACTTTTTTCGAAAGATTTTACTCACAGGATATTATAGATTTCATATTCTAGAACACCCTGGCAGAATTCGGTACCAGAACACTAATAATGCATTTTTTATAAGTTTTTTTAAACTTTATATTTTTATCTTACAACATAAAGATAAAAATATGTTGCCCAGATTAAACTTATTCGAAACTTGTATGTCTTATTAATTTGGCGTACCAGTTTTTTGTTTTAAATTACCCCATTCTTTCTCTTCCTAAAATTATGAATTCTGTTATAAATCCTAAAATTATGAATACAAAATTACTTTTGCTTCTTCTCCTCTCAACTTCTATGAATTTTTTAAAAAAATTCTAACTTACTATGTAAAGATAAAAATAAGTTGTAGAGATTAAGCGTACTCGAAATGTTAACGTCTTATTCATTTTGCCTATCAGTTTTTTGTTTTAAGTTATCCCATTTTTTCTTTTCCTAAAATTATGAATTCGACAAAAAAATTACTTTTCTTTCTTCTCCTCCCAACTTTTATAAAATATTTTAAACTTTAAATTACATTTTTATCTTACTATATAAAAATAAAAGTATATTGCACAGATTAAGCCAATTTGAAACGTCTACGGTTTATTCATTTTGCGTGTCAGTTTTTTGTTTTAGACGTTTTCTACTTGGCCAAAGATATTTCCATGAAAACGTGTATGAGGATGCATATAAATTCGATTCAAGAACGTCGCCATTATGAAAGCCTAAGTATCACGAAATATGAAATATGCATGGATCTAACTTATAT